CCAAACACTTTCATTGGGCTGGTATTCCACGAAGCGTCAATCATGGAAGATTGTAACGGCGGCTGTCGGTCGTCTGTTGAGTATTGATGTGGATGCGAGCCAGTTATTAAGCTTCTTCGGCGCGCTGGAGGTAGACAGTCACGGCGATGTTTTCTACGTCGCTGACGTTAGGTAACATGGCGTGGAGTGTCGTGGCCGGGCTTCTTCCATACACCAACTTGTACGGCATCATTTGCGTTGTTTTCTTCACGGCAGCGTTGTACACGAAGGTCACGTATGGAAGTATTGCATCCCACGTCTTGTGTTCGACGTCGAACTACATGGCCAGCATATCAGCGATGGTCTTATTAAGACGTTCGGTGAGACCATTGGTCTGCGGATGGTAGGCGGCGGTCCAGCAGTGGCTTGACTGGCTGTACATTACGATCGTCGTAGTTGTGTCCGCCGTAAAGGCCGTATCCTTCCGTCAGTAATGAGGACCTATGGAGCTCTGTGAAGCAGGGCAATGTTCTCGACGAACTCCCTTGCTACCTCGAAGGCACTGCCTTTGGGCAGGACCTTTGTTTTGGCGTAGCGCGTGAGGTAGTCAATAGCTACGACGATCTGTTCCCGGATATTTACGTCGTGAACGGCCCCAGTAAGTCCATGTCGATTTGCTGGAACGGCTGGCGAGGTGGCTCAATCAGCTGGAGAAGTCCGGCTGGTCTAGTCGGCAGTGTCTTTCATCACTGACAGTCGCGGCAGGTTCTGACGTAAGTACTGACATCAGTGGCCAGTAGTGGCCAATGGTACTTTCGCTGTATTCTTGCGAGCGTACGGGAAACACCAAGGTGTCTATCCGTCGGGTAGTCGTGTACGGCCTCAAATACTTCTCGTTTCAGTACTGAAAGAACCATGAGAAGATGGTCGGCTCGAAGGTGGGAGAAGTTCTTTAAAAGAACTTCGTTTTGCAAGAAGAACGACTCCAGTCCTTTCTTGAAAAACATTCGGAACATTCGCGCTATTACCAACGATGTACTCCACGGGGCTTCCGAGTTCCGGGTCAGCTCACTGTTGCTCGGGGAAGTCGTCGGCAGTTATCATTTCTAAGAAGCTGCGCTCCTCCAGGCCATCGGGCGGTGGTGGTTCGACGGGGGCACGAGACAAGCAGTCGGCGTCAGTGTTTTTTTTTTCAGACTTGTAAACGATAGGCACGTCGAATTCTTGAAGTCTGAGGCTCCACCGCGCGAGGCAATCCTTTGAAAGGGTCTTTCAAGTTAGAATGCCAACACAAGGCGTGGTGGTCACTCACAACTTTGAAAAGCCTGACGTAGAGCTAGGTGGGAAACTTTGACGCTGCCCAGATGATGGTAAGGCGCTCCTTTTCTGTTGTGGAATAGTTGGCTTCGGCCTTGGATAGCGACTGGCTAGCATACCTGATAACTAATTCCACGCCTTCAGTCCGTTGCACAAGGACTGCGCCGAGTCCAATATATATATACGCCGCTTGCGTCGGGATGTTCTGTTTTCGCGTATTCGTCGAAATGCGCAAGTATAGGTGGCGTCTGGAGGCGTCGTTTAAGTTGCTGAAATGCTTTTTCTTGTGTCGATTCTCCCCTGAATTCGACGTTGCTTTTCGTGACGTGAGCTAGCGGCTCCACGATTTGTGAAAAACGTTTGACGAAGCACCTGCAATAGGTGCACAGTCCGAGGAGTCGGCGTACAGCCTTCTTGTCATGGGCTGCGACAAATCAGTGATGGCGGCTGTTTTCAGCGGGTCGGAACGGACTCCACACTTGCTAATCACGTGTTCCAGGAACAACAGCTCCTCGTACGCAAAACGGCACTTATCTGGCTTCAGTGTTAGTCCAGAGGTGTTGATAGCTTGAAGTGCCGCTTCAAGGCGCCGGAGATGCTCGTCGAAGCTCGAGGAAAACACGACGACGTCCTCCAAGAACACGAGGCAAGTCTGTCATTTAAATCCAGTGAGCACGCTGTTCATAATGGGCTGGAAGGTCACATGCACCGTGCAAATACCAAATGCCATGACCTCAAACTCAAAGAGGGCGTCTGATGTGACAAAGGCCCCCTTCTGTCAATTTCAATTCGCCAATAGCTCGTTTTTATTTTCATCGAAGGAACGTGCTTTGTCGGTTCAGAGCATTGTCTATACGTGGGAGAGCGTAAACGTCCTTTGTGATTTTGTTCAGGCGGTGGAAATCGACGCAAAACGTAAGCTCCCGTTCTTCTTCATGAATACCACGGGTGACGCCCACGCACTTTTGGATGGCTGAATGATGTAGTTGCGTAACATTTCGTCAAATTGTTTCTTCACGGCTTTGCGTTCGTCCGTAGAGACTCGGTACGGGCTTTTTCCAACTGGTTGGACACTTTCTTCTGTTATAATGCGATGCTTCGCGACTGGTGTTTCTCGAATTCTCGAGGATGACGAGAAGCAATTTTTTAATTGCAGGAGCAGGGACTTAAGCTGGTCTTGCTCGCACTTTGAAAGGCTTGGGTTGATTTCGAAATCTGGTTCGGGACCTTCATTCATCTAAGCAGCATCGTCAGCATCGAGTAGTGTGACTGAATTGCCGGACTCCACGAATTCGTCGATGTAGGCGACGGTCATGCCATGGTTGAGATTCCTGCATTCGTAACTGAAGTTTGTGGACACCACCGTCACGCAGCTCAGCTATGCCTCTTGCGACGCAAATCTGATGGTTTAGGAGAAAGTGCTGATGGCCCTTGAGGACGCCTTGAACGTTTTCGGCTTTTTCAGTGCCAACGGAAATGACGACGTTGGAGAAAGGCGGCACAGTGACCCGCTATCCTAGCACATTCAATGCGTGATTAATTGGCGTTGCAAGGGTCAGCAGCATGTTTACTGAGGTTAATGTGATTGACCTCAGGTTGGTGACAGCGCCGTGTTGCCTTAGAAACCCATCCCAAGCATCACATACTTGGAGCAATCAGAAAGTTCACAGGACATGTCTGGTTATGGATCGTGACTCCTGCTGCGCAGACTCCAGTCGGCGTTATTAAGTGACCTCCAGTGGTCTGAACTTTGGGGCCTTGCCATGCAGTGTTCACTTTCTTGAACTTCATCGCAAAAGTGCACTGACGACGTAATAGCCGGCTCCAGTACCGACGAGAGCGGTGGCGAGGTGGCTGTAGAGTAATACGTCGAAGCCACTGGTTCGCCGTTGTGCGTTGTGGTTGCGTCGTGATGTCGGATCGTGGCTACGTCTATTTGCTCCGCTGTTTTCACGTTGAGTCGTGACGTCTTTTTCAGGCTGCGAAGGTTCGACGTCATGACCATTTTCGTCTTGCTGCGGGTGCTTTCGATTTCGTTGCGGTGTCGTCGGCGGCGACGGAGGATCTTCGGTAGTTCGTCGTACAGCAACCGCACCTCTATCGGTTGCTGCCCTTAGTTTTTCGAGTAATGGCTCGGAGAGCGGCCCCGAGCAGGGCCAGTGCACTGCCCGCGGTGCTGTGAGGCGTAGCGGCCTGGCGACGGTGAACGATAAGGTCGTCGGGTGTCGACTGCACTTTCGCGACGTAGTCAGCGATGTCATGTGGTCATTCACCCAGTTGTGGACACGGCGCGTTGATGTCGAAACCGCGTACTTCGGTGGCAGACCTTGTTGACGGCGGCTAACTTACTGCTCGTGGCTGGCGTCGGTGCCTTCTTCGACACGTGGTCATGGCTTGACAAGGGCGTCTGGTACATGAAGGAAGCAGAACCTTCACCAGATGTCACGGGGTCGTGACGTGGACGAAGAGAGCAGACTGCAGGTTGGATAATCACTATTTATTTGGGCCAAAGTTGTAGCCACGCAAAAATATAGTCAGATTACAGCAAGACACTGGCACTGATAGCGGTGAGCGCCCCACAGCGGTGGTCTAGTGGCTAAGGTACTCGACTGCTGACCCGCAGGTCGCGGGCCCGGCTGCGGCGGCTGCATTTCCAATGGAGGCGGAAATGTTGTAGGCCCCTGTGCTCAGATTTCGGTGCACGTTAAAGAGCCCCAGGTGGTCGCAATTTTCGGAGCTCTCCACTCCGACGCCTCTCATAATATTATGGTAGTTTTGGGACGTTAAACTACACATATTAATCAATCATCTGATAGTGGCAAACAAAGCGTCGGGCATCAATGAAATGACAAGCGGTGAAACGCGTCGGCTTTTCTACGCATGTCTTCAAATATTCTAGCGTTATCGGTAGCGGCCACGTAGGTTCTAGAATAATCTGTATTGTTCGCGAAAAGGGCGTGGTCTTAACGAAACGATTTCCCGAAGCTTCTCGAACACTGCAGGCGCGGTTTACGAATTGTTACGTACAGTGTAACAGGTCGATAACGACACTTGCTGAAGGAACGCAGCATTATAGAACTACTTATTTTTCAAGTGTAAAACAAGTCCTAGCCTTGGAGAAGGCAAGTCGAGTTGTCGAAACGTTGGCTCGAGGATACAACTCTTGTTTGCGGATTTTTTTCATCGCTCAGTCTTTATATTTTCAGAGGTTGTTTAGGAGCCTTTGGAGTAATTTTCGAGATCATTGACGGAGGTGCAGGTATTTTTAGCATTATTTCGTCACCGGTAAAACTACCGAGATCATGCCGACGATACGACAATGCTTGGCGGTCGCCTCGTTTCTTCGACCACGTATACTCGCCCAACACGTGTACAGGCTGATTTCCATTCAAGACCAAGGTCTGTCCGTGGAGGCTTCCTGTGCCCAACGTCACCCGCTAAATGAACTATAATTATGTGGCGCTCCCTTCTCGCGCGCGCTGTTTGGAATGGAAGAGAGGAGAGTAGCGATAAAAAACACGTAGCAATGAACTGCATCGTGCTGTCGCGAGAACTCTGACTGGCGCGACGTGCTTGCGAGTCTCTCGAGCCCTCTCGCACGGAAGATGCGAGGACAGTACAACAGAGAGAGAAACCCCCGAAAGTGAAAGGGAAGACACGGTGGAAAACCGGATCCGGACGTTCCCTCCCATCGTCGGAGACGCTACAGGAAACGTGGTGGCCGATCTGAAACATCGCCCTCTGCTGCGTCGTTTCTTGGACCGGACACGTTGCTAGCAGACGACAGCGGCGTCAACGGCTGCTCCGCTGTGGTTTTTCCCCGACTTCGCCGACAAACGGACCGACTCAGTGCGCGATTGCATGCATCTTTGTGAGCACGTCAACGGAAAGGTCTCATTCAGTCACTCTGTCTGGCAGACCGTAAAAGAGCGCCATCGACGCCAGTACAGTCTCAACATGAGGATTGCACCTGCCAGGGTCGTTGGTGGTTCCTTGATCTTCTCTTTAGTGAATGGCAGTCCACAACAGCAGCCCTTGCTTTGAAGCTCGTGCTCTCTGTGTATATCGTAGTGCTGTGACGTTTTGCTGCTCACCCGAACCAACTTACTAAGTGAAGTCCTAAAGGTAAGTTAATGCTCTCGTTTGTTGTGTTATTCGGCCTAATGTTTTTTTTTTTCGAAGAGCTTTCTACTCGTCGCGTTATGAGCAAAACAGAACCATTGTATGCACATGTTCCCCATTTGTACAGCAAGCGATATATTTTAGTGAAGCGCGTATACACGTGGTAGAAGTTTCCCATCAAAGGTAACTCATGGGCGCCTTGCCTCCTTTCTAGAAATAAACTATTGCAAGCAGAGTGATCAAACCTTTGTTCTCTGCAGTATATTCTATTGTTTAAACTGAAATATTCCGCGAAACCTGAATTCTTGATTCGGAGAGAAATTATTTATTTTACGAGCATTATGTAATAAATGTGAGCGAAAACGCATGTTCCACCTGTCAGAGAAGTTGAATATTCTGCGGAGACGAGCAGAGACAAACAATATGATTGTTTGGGTACTAGTCAAGTCCTACTAATCAAGTCTTCACAACAAAGTGATTGTGTGGGTATTGCTGAAACCTTTATTCATGTTCGCGCTTAAAACAAAGTGATTGTGTGGGTACTAGTCAAGTCTTCATTCATGTTTGTACACACAAACTGCAGCTTGTGTGCATACTAACATGAATAAAAACTTGGCTATAGTGCCCCCACTATCACTTTGTTTTGCTCAGCTGGTCTCCGCAGAATAGTTGACTTCTCTGGCAGCTGGAACATGTGGAAGACTAGAAAAAACATCGAAGTTTATGCCAATTGACGCGCCTCACCATCCTTAAATGTCAGCAGTATGCATAGAGCAGAAAACAAGCACTGGATAAAAAGTCGCTAGGCATTTACAGAGAGATTAAATTGACTGAAATATATATGTGTCATAATTGGCACCAGTATTGTAGGTCAGTGTAAAACAATAATACAACGTATGAAGAGATGAAAACACTTGATATTAAGGTAACACAGATTGCTGAATAATGCCCTTGCGGATCGCGGAAAAAGAACATTAAATGACGTATTCAATAACTTTGGTACACTACAACTTAAAATAGAAAACCAGAGTTAGATCCACATTTCGGTAATGCGAAGCTACTTTGTACTATCAAATCGCAAATACTTGACCCTCCGATTGGAAAGTGCCTTGTCAGTTACTGAAAAGGTTATGCTACGACTTTGTGAATTCGGTTTTCTCCGTGCTGTTTGTCGCATCGTTGCCGATTATCAAGCGAGGAAGTGGAGGCAGCCGTTGCTTCCGTACGATAGCGAGACAGCGCGTGCAGGTCGAGGGAGGCGCCGTGGGTGGCGCCGCGTTCATGACGAAAGCGTAAACGTTGTCGACATCCTTCTCGGGAAGGGCGCGAGAAGCACGTGGAAATGGTCTGCAGCTATAGATTGGTTTGCAGGATTTTTCTGCGCATTTTAAGAAGCGAACATTCACTCCCTACATTGAAAGATCTGTCGTATAAGGCATGTGCTTCTTTAGCTCTGATATATGTCAGCTCCGCGGTAACTATATACCTGTCCTAACAAGACGTATTTTTTTTTACTATTTACACTGCCCCTCTACCTGTTGCAAAGCACTGTTTTCAGTCAAGACTGTTGCAAAACTTTAGTTTTATGCATATTAATTTTCCGACCTGCTCATCTGTTTTCCTTGTCGAATTCAGTAATCACTATTTGCAATTTATAGCCTCGGTTACTCATCAATACAATGTTATCGGCAAAGAACAGGTTATACTTATGTACTCTCCATTAACTCTTGTTCATTACTGTTCCCGATCTAGGGTCCTACTAACCTCCTATAGTGACTTGGTGAATAGCACTGGGGGAGATCATATCTCCCTGCCTTAGCCCCTTTTGCATTAGTATTATGTCGCTTTTTTTATAGACTCCTAATATGTTTATATATATAACTCTGATGTTGTTTATTTGTATTAGCAACCATTTTTGTAGATAGCTTGTAGACTACGGACATACCACTCGGTTCAGGTGAATGATCAGCGAATGTTCGTAACACTCGGCGCAGAAGACACAAAATATCAAAACTTTAGCCAATCTCACACCCTGAAAGCAATTCCGAAATGTCACCTCAGAAGGTCCCTTTTCCACTTTAGTGAATGTCCTGTCAAATATACGTTAGAGCAGGGTGGTACTAGGATCTTTGTGCCGCAATCTCTGATTCGATGCATGCGTCGTCTTTATAGCTGATCGGGGTAAAAAAAAAAAAACTAAGACATGTAAATTAAAAGAAACACACAACTGCTCGCGTTGAAATAATGAAATAATATTTGAGGGACAAAGCTCCTTAGGGTGTGTGTCTGTCCTTCCTCTATCTGTGTATGTAGCCACATTGCAAACATCCCACTACACACCATCGCCGATCCACCACTTCACTGACTATAAAGCCAATACTGGTGCGAAGCAGCCAGTAAGAAGTGCAACATGGTCATGCACTTGTATCCAGGTGCGCGTTACAGAACCATAGATTTTAGGGGCGAAGCTTCTTAAGGTGTTGGTCTGTCCTTCCTCCATTGGTGTACGTAGCCACCTTGCAAACATCCCACTACACCCCATCACCGATCCACCAATTCTGTGACCATAACGCCCATACTGTTGAGAAGTAGCCAATATGAAATGCAAAATGGTCGTGTATACTTGTATCCAGGTGCGCGTTAAAGGACCATAGACACAAGAATGCAAAAAAAAAAAATGACAGCATAGCGACGGAGTGAATGATGAGGAGTGGGGCGAAGCGCTGAAGGGGGAACGGAGCAACCTATAGCTACCACTTAACAGTAATAAAATTTCTTGTATGAATCTATACAATGTTTGTCATGCCGAGAAATGCTTCGTATCTTAAAAGACAGCGCTCGTGTTCTGTCCTTCCTTTACTTTGTCTTCGTTTTAATGCGATAGCGTTTAAGAGCTCGTTTTACAGAAATTCCGGCGCCGGCGTCATTGGTTGTGGGTGAAAAATCATCATCTTAGGCGTGACTGAATAATTGAGAACGATGCAAATGAAATAAATGAAGAAAAACATTCGGAGTCAGCGTGGGGACCGAACCAGGGTTGTTTGGGGTCCAATGGAGAACGAACCCGGGTCATTTGCGTGGCAAGCGGATGTTCTACCACACGGTCATGTCTATGCTTCTGAAAACAGTGAAAAGAACTTCCTCGTCCTGGAAATGCAGTGAAAGCAGCTTTCATGCTTTGCAAACAAGCGCGTTAGGTCTACGTGCTTCACAATACAACATGAAATATTACAGTAATAATGCATGGCACAAGCGCCCATTGCCAGCGGCCGTCAGAATATGCGAGTGTCATAATGACTCCGTGGTTGAAAGTCGGCACCCGACTATAAAATGTACACACGCAACTGTGTTCATTCCCTTAAGGCCACGGTATGGGTGCATGGCATATTCGAAAAGGTTTGACTGAGTACGCAAACTTCAAATAAGTGTTTGAAACACGCACTGGGAACAGGATATCGCTATCGTGTTCAACTCCTAAAGGTGAAGGTTTCGGGTCCCCCAATTTTTTAAAATGCGAAGCATTTCTTAGTAAACTTCGGCGACTTTGAACGTATCTATCTATCTATCTATCTATCTATCTATCTATCTATCTATCTATCTATCTATCTATCTATCTATCTATCTATCTATCTATCTATCTATCTATCTATCTATCTATCTATCTATCTATCTATCTATCTATCTATCTATCTATCTATCTATCTATCTGTCTATCTATCTATCTATCTATCTATCTATCTATCTATCTATCTATCTATCTATCTATCTATCTATCTATCTATCTATCTATCTATCTGTCTGTCTGTCTGTCTGTCTGTCTGTCTGTCTGTCTGTCTATCTATCTATCTATCTATCTAGCCGCTTACGTTGAGTGCTCTCGTGGTCACCCCCTTAACTTGGCGTGAACCAAAATTCGCGTAGGAGATTAAGGTGGTTTGACAAATATGACGCACTGGTCAAGACATTAATAATGTCACAATGCCGTCGCGTACATCATCAAACACTTCTCGCCCGACAGTGGCACATACCTACGGGGGGTGGGGGGTATGTGCCACTGGTATGTGGCACAGGTGATTTACACCTATTATTTACCCAGGAATGACGAGAACACACGTGGGCAATTTTCACGCGTGAGCGTTAAGCAATACCCGACATGAGTGGCATCGAACCAACGAAGGCATAAAATAAATGTCAGTGTTAAGAAAAACGTGAGATAGGCAGCGTGCAATGTAATAGGATGTCTTTATGAAATATAAGAGTTTGAGTCCTTCACGTCAAAATAATAAGACGAAATTTGGGGAAACTGCTGAGTAGAAGCGCAATAGACGCAATGTGCAGGTCTGTAAACCCATTGATGTCCTGAACTCGTTAACCTGCCGCCCTTTCTTCCTATAGTATTCGTTTGCTCCTGATTAAAGAGACTTAATTCTTAACTTGTGCAGCAGGATCGAGTTCACAGGCGTCGTACAACTGTCCTTCGCCATAACAATTACTCTCAGTCACTTCATGTGATTTCGCTGTGAAGAATGCTAGTAAAGGCAACTTTCGCTTATCAAGTGCATAAGCCAGATTATACAGATTCCATCTAGCGCACTGCAAGTTCATAGATTTCTTCTGTACACATTGTTGTGGTATTATAGGATTGCTTCGATCACCTTTCTTGGTTTTTATAAGTACGGAACTTTGTGGCAACACTAACGCACAACCACCAGAGCAGAAGCTAGTGACTTTTTTTGGGGGGGAGGGGGGGAGTAGAAACGCACCTTTTTAACAACTTTCTAAGGTAGTTTGCACCTCACCAATACGTCGATGCCGTCAGACAAACAGCGTAAATTTTCCCGCCCTGTTGCCTACTTGGAGACCCGCTCGAGGATACACAGGAGAGCTGGCGGTCAGAGCTTGGGCTGAACGGCAAACTTTGGTCTCCTCAAGATTACGTCCTGGGAGTGTTAGTATAGAGCCACCTCACCTTGTGTGTAGATGGGAAGCGTTTGCAGAGGCGG